TCTTACCATTGACATTGAAGAAAGATGAGCTCAAACTGGAAATGGTGAAAGAAATGCCCGGAAGATGACAGGGAACAGAAAAAGCATCTTACATGGGGATCTTTTTTTATCCAGTTAAATGGCCACGTTCTATAAACACACAGCATAAGGCCACTAAGGAAATACAGCATTACCAAGAGCAGAAATTGAGGTATTTTAAACGTCAAGTAAGAACTTGTCTTTATGATTACCGCAGCCACGTATTCAAGCAGAGCTTTTTCCCACAGCAGATCAGTAAGGATTTGAGCTGTGCATTTGCAGCCACATCTCACAGGCTTGGATCTTCCAGCTCATCCTGACAGCTGCTCCGAAGCAGCCAAGAATGCAGGCCTCTGCCTGGCCTGCTGATGAATGTGGGTGATCCCTGAGGATCTCAGCCACGTCAGAAACCTTAGGGAAGTTACTTACATGAAGAGACCTCTTTGGTTATTGACAGCTTATTTTATCTGCAGGGGTAACTGCACTGTATTGCTGCCAAGTACAGCCTGACTACATCACCATCAGGTATCTCATCATACCTGTATTTCAAAAAATAAAGAAAGAACATGGACTTCATGTAAGCACAGCCTAAACTGACAGAATCCAACACCAAGCCACAGAATTATTCCCCCCTACTGCACTTGTAAAGTACTGTATCATTCTCATTACTATTCTCCCAGTTCTACTTATGTTATCATATCTAAGTTCACACACCAAGTTCCTCTCTTCTCCTTCAGGTTCCCTATGACCTTTCTATTTATACTCTTAAAAAGTAAACTGAAAATAAGAACAGAAAAATAAAGCATCTCAGCCTTTAACCACTCTAAACTCTGCGCTGTAAGATCACTTTCAAGTTTGTTTTTAAATAATATACCCACATTTTTACCAAACTGCTTAAGGCACAAAATGCTTCCACCTTCATTCCGCTTTAGGAGGCTTTTTTCCTTCTGAGACTCCAGCCAAGAGGATTGCTCTACTTGTTCTACATTATACCCCACAGAACAGACATGAGGGCAGATGATAACAGTGCTGAGGATGAGCCGCTGCTTGTTTTCATAATCCATGCTCACACTGAACCCTGACAACTGCAGCAACGGCTCACAGGTGACAAACTGAGATCAGTGGCAGGCCTTGGGAACATCAACCAGTTGACTGTTAGTCTGTTCCACAAACCCAGCAGTGGGAAAAAAACAACCCTATTTGCATTAGTGATGTTTCTTAAACACTTAGAAGCTTCACCCTCATTTCCAAAAAACCCTTTTCCTACAGAGTGATAAGAAATAAAAGCTTCTCAGCCTTGCACAGTTGACCTAAATTCAGTGCATCCTCAAAACCCCATTGGGGAGGAATCTGCCAGTTCTGCAGGATTCAGATAATGAAATATTCAAATAACCAAAGATAACACTGTCTAAAAGAAAATAAGTACAACAAGAGATGATCACCGTATTTAAATGTTGACATAAAATTACAACTCTGACTAGAAAAATACCGAACATTTGTTCAATTTCCTGTAGAACTCCAGAGAAACAAGTATTTCACATTTGGTCCCACCCTCACTCATTAAACACTCAGGCTTTCCAAAACTTGAAGGAAATCTTTATGTTTTGGTATAAAACGCCTTAAGATGAAGTAGCTTTAACTAACGCTACTCAAAAGGAAAACATTCCTGTATTACACACCCATCACTACCTGCCTTATTTTTTCCCCAAATGGAAGCATCATGCACACACAGCCACATTGAGGAATTTCCTTAATTCAGAAAGGCATCCTCTGCTTATTGTATCAAGCTGATAGAAAGCTAACAGTCTGTGCGTTGCTGTTCCTCCTCCACACACAGCCTGCTTACAACAGCTGCACAGCTTAGTCACACAGATGCACCTTCCTGGCACTTCACAAACACGCTGTGATTAGTTACCTGATAAATCATTTACACTGTGCAGGTAATTCAGAGAGGGGAGGCAAAAGTCCTGAACTGCACACGTTCACACTGTGGGCACTGCTGGGCTCAGGGGTGCCCATCAGAATGCAGCATTTTGCAGCTAAGGCAAAGCGCGGCGCTGTGCCAGTCCCCAAAGCTAATCCACACACAGCACCCACGCTGCCACCATCCAGGCTACTTTATGGCACAACCAGGCTGCACATTAAGCCCAGCATTTTCTCCACTATGGATTCAGTCTAGAATTGCAGCTACTTCAGAGCAAAAAGAAGAATCACAGGCCCATGAATAGGATATTTTCAATGGAACATAACAGGGTGCTGTGATGAAAGAAATTCTCTGCTGGGTTTGGGACCTGTTAAGTCAGCAGTGATGATGTACTTTATGTTTAGTACAAACTACAAAACTTAGGAAGGACTTCATAAAAGACTAATCAGCTACAAACCACAACTCAGAGTCATTAAAGACCTTTCAGAACCCTCTTTTGAACACAAAGCAATCAAAAGAAACCCCTCATAGCTGTTGCTCTTCAACCTTAGCAGCAAACATGTAAGCTCCAGCTATGTACACTCTAGCACTGTGCTACCTTTATAGAAATCTGTATAGAAATTAAAAGAATACAAAGCTTCCAAGTACTGTAAATTAAAAAATAACAACATACATATCAGTGCTACTGCTACTCCACCCGCAACAACTTACAAGCCGTGTGCTCAAGATTCTAAACCTCAAGAAACCAGCGCAGACATCTAAACCACCTTGGATGGGTTCTTGGCTTCAAAAAGCACTCTGCTTTAGTAACAAAGTAAGGCTTATTTACTTCAATAAAGAAACTGTTTCTGTTTGCAGGAAAGAATACATAGAAGTGAAACAGGATTTTTATTTTTTTTTTTTCCGATGAAATTTATTGTGTGTTTATCACATTCAAAAAGCATTGAGCAGTTGTTTGCTTTGATTTGGGTTTTTCTGGTAGCTATTAGAAGCTCAAGGAAGAGCTGACAACTGGAAGCTTAACTAGCACCTAACAGAGCTCAGCAGATACTTGGGAGGAAATGCTAACAGCCGTGTACTCAACACTTTGGACTGCAAATAGTTCTGTGGGCACAACAGAATCATTTTAAAAGGTTAAAGAAAACGAATGCTTTGGAAAGACCAGGCAGTATCACGAATATACAAAATTTAATCTTAAGTTCACAAGATTTTAAGGGTTTGATGGTTAAATCCTTACCCCCATTTCTCATGTCTGCTCAAAATCTAATTGCAGCCTAAGCTGAGATCTTTACATCTGTCATGGTTGCCTCCGTGGGCAATTATGGGAGGAAAAAAAAATACAGGATGAAAACTGCTCTGGGATGAACGCTGACAGATTCTTCACAACACATTGCAAGGCTCAAACAGCAGTGGGTTGGAAAAGAGAGGACAATACATATAAGTCAGCTGAGGACCAAAACTAGAGGGAAAAATGTACAGTCTGTACAGCCAATTGCATGGAAGTGCCCAGCATCGAGCAACAGACATGCAGGAAAAGCTGAAGTAACAGCAGAGCGGTTCTGCTTAGTTTCTGATAGATGGAGAAAACCAAAAACATTTCCCCACTGTACAGGTGACATTATCCAGTTATTAGTCAAATATATGGAACAAAATCTAATTAAGGGAAAAAAAACCTGATAAACTTCCCAGAAAGCCCTCTATGGAGCTAGTATTGAAACAAAGGGGAGCAATAATTGCTTCATCTCCAAATTAAGACTGAAGTGTACCAACAGTACTTCACCAGCACTTCTCTTTAAGAATGAGCAAAAAAGGACAATTTACTTTTTAAAAGGGTGTCCTCCAAATCCAGCATAGGTATCAAGTACTCTAACATCCTAGATTTTTTTCAAAGCTTTTTGAGAAACACACACAAATAATTCAGATTTAGTCAATTTTATTTACAGTTTGTTTTTACATTTCAGAGCATTACACAATTACATAATTCTCATTTTCTGACCTGCAAACAGATACCTTAAACGGAAATATTTAAAAAAAAAAATGAAGTTAGATACATCCAAAATGCAACAATTACACATCTGACAATTCACAAAGTGTAATTAACTAGGACGTATCCTAAGAATTTAGGAACAACCAGTCAGGAGAAAATCTGACCAAATTTCATCAATCAATTATTTACACATTCAAAACAAAGCCTCTCTTAATCTAAAACTCCAGGCAAATGGCCTGAAAGACTTCTTCAGGAAGAAAGACCAGAAGTTATGATTCACACCTATGCAGCATTAACAGCCCTTGATCCCAAACACTGAGCAATTTCTCAGCTTTGTCTTAGAGCTACAGGCATCACTCTCAGCTTCTCAGACCCTGAAGTGTTAATATTTGTGCCCCCATGTGCATAGAAAGGCTGAGTGTTTAAGAAGTGGTCACTAAGATAAAACCCCATTTAATCTGGTCTTTAATTTTGTGAATTTTTCTTCCTTAAAAACTTCAGCACATCTTCTAATGCCATTTAAACTGGCCTTCGTGGATCGGGGCACGCCGCTAAGATGCTCATGCGTGCATTGAACCAATTTGCACTGGCCAGACTAAATACATCAGAAAGTATTTGAAATCATGTTTAAAGACCATTTAGACAAGGCTTACGTTTCTACACTTCCCTGATGGGCCACCTAAGAAAAGAAAAATAAAGTATCACAGCTACTACTTTCACCCCTTGTGTCAACCCTTTGCCACACAGCAACTAGGTACATACTGGGTAGAAACTACTAAAAAATTCCCTGCAAATAAGCTGCCTTTCAGCTGAGGCTATGGCTCCTATGCATCGGGTGTTTGAGGAGTTCTTTCTTTAAAAAAAATTCTCACTTGAAAAATACTGAAATTCTCACTTTAGGCTAATTTTGATTGCATGTTCAATTTGTTTAACTTCCATGAAATCGCTACAAATGGAACTTTAGTATAAAAAGAGCATCCAACCGACTGCAACTTCTGCCTCGGCAAATCCTTCATGGTAGTCCTCTAACTAGGCTATGAATTTCGTGGAGCCTCCAGATTTCTTGCCTACCTTACTCTCCATGTTCACGTTTCAAACTGCGTCAGCAGGGCCCGAACTTCGGGAGTCAGCTGCTTAGCAGCCTTGGCTGCCTCTGTGACGGCCTTGCGGTAAAGACCCTTTCTCTTCTTATTAAAGCGCGACTGGAAGTTCTCTAAAAAGGGGGATAGTTGTGAAAGAGCAAGAATAGACGTTGTTGGGGAGCCAAACCATGATATACAAGCCTCCTGGCGAACTAAAAGACCGTTATCTTTCCGGCTCACAGTTATGGTCAGGATACGGGCTGGCCACCAAGGGAAGCCATAAATTTTGGCCCAAACAATGTCCCCTACACATATGGTCCTGCCATCTGGTGTAACACATTTAGAGACTTTTTTGGAAAAGACTTTCATTTTCAAGGAATTACTGAGCTTTTTCTCTTCTTTCGAAGAGGAGGAGGAGGAGGAAGGTGCATGCATGCTGCCTGGAGGAAAATCAAAGCTTTCAGTAGAGCTACACTCAGAGTTGGTAGATTTCAAATCATCTGTGCTATCACTACTACATACTGATGCACTGGAAGAGTCAGATTTCTTTTGATTAAGGGTCATGTAAACCGTTATATTGCTTTTGCTGCCTCTCTTGCCCAATGTCTGGTGTTCATCCTGATCAACAGTTACATGCACTTCACTTGTGTCCTGAACCTCACTGCTGGCCTCTTCAGGGCCTTTTGAGGGGCTCTGATTTTCTGAAGGGGCCTCACCTGCTGAGCGGGTGGAGGAGCAGCGAGACTGCGGCTTAGTTGCCATCTTGCCACTCCGTATTTTCTCAAGTCCTGTCTTGAGAGAAGAGTCATTTTCTTCATTCCGATATCTTTGTGGCTTTAAACGCAATCGGGGTGGGAGGGAACCTGAGCTGGTGTTCTGAAGACGCCGTGTGAAGTGGACCTTTGAATGTGCATTTTTGGAAGAGGAGGTTGCACTCTGCTTCTTTTGTGCCTTTTCTTTGGCCATTTTCAAGACTTCCCGAGCTTTTGCATGATCCATGTTTTTGCTCTGGAGAACTTTTTTTGTATTTAACTGCGCTTTTGAAGTATTTGCTTGTGCAGTAACTTTAACTACTCTGCTTCTGCTGTGGGCAATATTTGAAACTTTGACCACAGCATTCCTTTTCTGGCTTTCATTTTGGCTTTTTCCATCCACCTTATGGTCAGTCTTAAGTTTTTTATTCACAGTAGTCACGCTCTCGTTTCTTCGTTTTTTATTATCCTCATATTTTGAAGAGTCACTTGCATTGCCACCTTTTTTTATCTCCTTTTTTTCTGCAACAACACTGTTTTTGCACTTGTCACATAAGACCTGTCGGGGTCGTAGTTTGATAGCATTCATAATAGAAGTGGGCTCCTCCCTGTACATTTTACGCTTGGGCCGCTTAATTTTCCGGGGCGGAGGCTGAGGTATTGACTGGTTATATGTGTCCCTGATAAACAAAGGAGGAGGATATGGCGCTCCCTCATGGAAGAGAGGAGGTGGTTTAGAAGTCCATAGGCTTTTAGCTAAGCTTGGTTCTGATGGCTGTGTGAGAGAAGAGTCATCGGGGACTGCAGCATTAGATTCACACTTCACCTGTGCCTCATCTTGGAATGGTTTACTTTGGAGCTGCATGGCTTCAGGTTTATCCTTGTATTCCCTTTTAGGAAATATGGTCACAGGGATTCCATGGGGTCCAAACCTTCAAGAGAACAACAACAGAAAAAACATTAAAGGTTTGAGGGATCTTTTGCTGTATTTATTAAAAAGCATTTTAAAAGCCGTCAGCATAACCACCATTTGAGAAACATCAGTTCTGGACAAAATTGAAACATTATACCAAGTCTTAGGCTAAGTTTTGAAAAAGCAAAACATCAAAGCCAAGTCAGCATCCAACACAAAATGCATAACTTCACTTATGTGGGTTTCTATTGTGTCAACAACAACCTTCGAAAATATATCCAAAAATATTGCCAGGGACAGCATTTATTCTTCTAGAAAACACTTATAAACACAAAGTTCATACTCACCCCATCAATCCCAAATCTACTCAAGATATTTCTACACCAATTCCATTTATATGAGCAAGGAAGGCTTTTGATTAAACAGAATTCTACAGAATTCTTCAGTTTGTGGCATAGCACAAAAGCCTGAACTTATGTTAAATTTCAGTCAGATACACAACGTGTGAATACTGGCATTTAACAGCACTGTCATTCTTCACATCGACATCCACAGAAGATTACTGCTCGACCACCTGATGTATTACAGCCTAGAACTTGGAGTTTGGGTTCCTTCTGGCAAAAATACCCCTGTAATTTCAATACAGCACAAATAATTCCCTTCTGTTCTGCAAACAAACTATTTTAAAACATTGCCTACTTTTCTGCAGGCAGCTCCAGGTGTTCTAAGATCTCTAACACCCTGTTTGACACACATGAAACTCCACTAAGTCTTATACATTAGTTTAACTTCCCTATACTAAGAGAAGTAGAATGCTGTTCAACAGGTAACCAATATCTTCTGCAATATGTTATGCTAAGGGAAATGTCATCAGTTTACAGGGCATAATGCTTATCTTCTCCTGGGAGAAGAGTTAAATACATTCATATTTCATTAATTTGTCTTTTAATCTACCAAACACAAAGGGAAGGATTATGAAAGCCTGTTTAACCATTCTCACGTCCCATGTTAGAATCTACAATCTGCAGTACCAACCTTACAAAGCCCTCACAAGGCATTCAAACTCTCTGCCCAACTCCAGCTCCAACACACACAGATGTGTTTGGCTTACATTAGGCTATATTTGAATAGCTTAGCTTACTGCAGCAAAAACACTATAGACAAGGTTGCAATTCAAACATTAAATCATCCATTCCAAATCACCAAACACCAGTTGTATTTATCTCACATGACCTCAGAATGAAGTAATTAACCAAGACCTGTCCTCAGGTTAACAGTAGTTCACACTGCTGTGCAGGTGTTAAACTGCAACATCTGAACTGACGGAACTGAAATTTGTCATCTATGGCTGCTGCTAGACTGAAGGTAAATGCAGAGTGGTGGTCTATCTTCCATTCACATTCCTGCAATAAACATGCAGTTTAGACAAATACCTACAGGCTGGCTTCTTGTTTTTTCAAAGTTTGTTATGACAATTTTTTACAATACATGTTAGAATATTCTTTACACTGTCACAAGCAGAAGCCATCACTTATTTGTCCTTCTTACCTGTTGGGCCTCTTTTCATACTTTGAAGTTGTAACTGAAGCAAGCAATCCATCCAAAACTAAATTATCCATCCCATCTGCATTTCATTATACCCAGTCAAGTGACAACTCAACCAATTTTGTCATCAAAAATAGATGAAGTTGTACACTTGACAACTTACAGGTAGGAAGCATCCAGTGCTGTTGTTACCTTCCACTTAGATACTGTAACATTCATACCTTTGAAACCTGGAACCCAGGCAAAGCCTGGTCTACTAGCTGCTGGAGAACTATTCTGTATACACACAGAGTGACAAGCATCCTATGCCACAGAACACCTTACTACCCCACAAAAGTTCATTTCTCAGGGTTGGACTCACTCCATTTGGACTCCAGATGTCCTTCCTGAGATAAAAATCAAAACTAAACGCAGCTTGCTGCACTACTGAGGGCTACAGCGAATTACGAGCACTGAACTGTGGATCTGTGCATCTCTCCAGCCTGCAGTTCAGCATTAATTCAGAAGATACTCATTACTAGGTTTTAAGTTCCCTAAAGACTCAGAAGTCCACCAAGAGTCTAGAAATTATTTTTGCACAAACGCTGTTCCTTTCACTAAGGATGACAAATCATTGTTCAGATCTGAGTGTAGGATTTACAAAAAAAACAACAAACACCAGCTGTCAGCTGACAGCAATAAAACTAGCAACATTTTCAGTGTTACTTGCACTAAGAGCTTGGTTTCTTGTACAGCAAGAAGATCTGGATCCCACTGTTCACCACCTGATAAGATTCGCTAGAGTTAGGAAAGCAGTTTGTGTAGCGTAGGAGTTGAGAACAAGAACCCCTAGATGGGACAAGAAGCTGCTACACAGATTTCAACCCACAGTGAACACCAGGAACACCCCTGATGCCATTAAAGCCATTTAAGACCGTGACTGCATCTTAGACCATCTTCTCCTTCATGAAGCTCCATAATATTTAGTCCAAAAAGCTGAGGAATAGGACGGCTGATGTGGCTATTTTAATATATAAGACGCAAACCTACTTCATGAAGGCACAGAACCATTCATACTGAATTCCTGAGGCTACAGCCTGTCTCACAAAAGGTAATGTTTTAATGAATGAGATGGAATTTGCTGGCCCTATCTACCTAAAAATTAATGAGTTGTAAGATTACAGACTTCTCACTGATGTCTGGTGCCAGTTATGCAAGAGCAAATAGGAATGTGATTTGTGTAAACTGCACATCAGTGAGAAGCAATGATGCAGTGCATGCGAAGTACAAAATAAATCGGGCACGCCCAGAGACTGATTCTTACTTCCAATGCCTTTTTTCTTTTTTGCCCCATTCTAGAGCAGGTCGTGCCCACGTTCTGTTTTTATGATTGTTAACTCTTCCTTGGTGAAGTTCTCCAATTGTCCAACTTGGAAGAATTATATGCAAATTTAAAAGAGAAAGTGAGCAGAAAGATTTAGGAGTGGTACAGAACCAAGTACAAAGCTGGAAAGAAGAACAAGACAATAAGCACAAAGAGAAAGCTGACAGTGGCGTATCTTCTCAACAGAAGCAGCAGAATGAATGTGACCAGAACAAACCTACTGAAAACTACACATGGCAGAGCATCTAAATGGTTCAGCAGTTATGAACTAAAGTATTGAATGCTTACATACTGCAAGAGATCGCCTTGCCTTTACTCTAGACAAGTACATCTTTTTTGAATGCATTGATCCTGAAGTATCACCTGTCCTTACTTTAATACTTTCCTCCACAATTCCAGAGAACACTACCCTTGGAAAGGCGAAAGACAGCATCTTCCTTATCAAAAATGAATAGAATAAAAGTCAATGTGTGTCTAAGTTCCAGCTGTGCCCTGTACAGCCCACTACTGCACTGTATGTACAGTTCTACCTCAGAATATTACATGATGTAATAGAAGGATTCCTTCATGAAGATCTGAAATCGAATTGTTAAGAAAAAAAAGAGAGTAAGAAATGGGTATTTAAACAGAGATTAAGGCACCTCTCCTTCACATGTATTCAGAACTAGAATCAGTTTTCCATGTTGCCAAGCTTCCTCTTTCAAAAAACTGTCCTGGCCCTTTTTTACTCTGTAAAGTTCTCTCTGACAAAGATGGATAACACTCAGTGTAAGAACAATATTTTTAAGAAGTTTACAAGTAAGCACAGCAATCAGTAGGATCTAATCATACACACATCTGATACCCTGTGCTGGACACAATCCCTATATGCATCCTTATTAAAAGCAAATAATAATCAGTAATTGAGAAACAGGCGAGATGAGATGCCTTCCGACAGTCCAGTTATCTTTACAACACAAACAACTTTCAATTAACTTGGGAGGTTATACAGAGACAGATGTGATAAGAACACTTATGGTTTTATTTCCACGCCTTATCAACTGGAACTTAATGAATGGGAAGCCATGGCATCTTCTGTGATTGTGCAGAAGCTACTTTTTAATATCAAACCTACAAGTTATAGAGATTTGCATTACAGATATGTAAACCCAAGTACTTCAAACAAACTAAGAAGTCACTTTTCACATCTAAATCCTATAGCAGAATTATTATAATGAAGACATATTACTGTTCAATTTGTATGCAAAACAGGGCAGAGTTAGGAAGTATTTTTAAATAAGCAGGAGATAAGGAACAAATACCAACTAAATGCACAACCGCATGCACATAAACATCTAAACGATGCATCCTGGGGCAAGGTGTCTGCATCACTATGTAAAGTCTCCAGTTCTCATCTTTAGTCTCCAATGTTTAAGTTTTACCTTTCTCAATTAAAAAAATAAAAATAAAAAAAAATAGTACAAGTATATTTTTCCTGCCAAGAAAAGCCAAAGGAAAGAATGTGCGAAAAGGGTTCAGAAGTATTTCATGTTTGTCTACAAACACTGGGTTATTTCAACACAACACAATAGCTTCTAGTGCTGGGTTAAATCAATTCTGTTCTAAATGATTCTGATCAAAATACTCATCTTCACCATTAAGTCAGACTACAGCAATCATCAATTACCTTTCAACACATTACTCCTGTTCAACCTACATTACTAGTAGGTATTTTGTAGCAGCCAAGAGAAGAAGCAATCAAAGCAATTTTCATCTCATGGATAAAGGCTCAATGATTCTGAATACTGAGAGTATAACAACATGCTCAGGTAACATAGGGCTAAGTATATTTGTTTCACATGTACATACAAGCTGGGGGCTTAAATCACAATAGTTGATGTAATACACAATTAGATCATAGCTATTTCAATACAAAGTATTTCAGAACCCAGGAAAACAGCCTGTATCCAAAACACAGATTATGCAGTAACCTATTTTTAATAAGGGATTTAGTTGGCGCGATAAAGCTTTTGTGGCACACACTGCTTCTAGTGGTAGGCACCTAACTGAAAAAGCATCCACATAAGCCACGTTATCAATTCAGAACTTTACTTACCTCCCAAGCAATGTAA